TCGAAGCGGTACCGATTGAGAAATGGTGGGTGGGTGGGCGGTAATTCGCGGTAATTCGATTCGCGACACTATCGGGGGGAAGGGGAGTTTTCCTCACGAATCGACTCGCAATTTTCCAATAAACTTACGATCGATATGCGGCCCATTAACGGAGATATCGACGGCCCGATAACCGGCGGGAAAATTGGCCGTAAACGGGGAGAAATAGTTGGGACTCAAGATGGCGGCGTTGTAACGAGACTTATGAAATAAGGACTGTCGCGAGCAATCTAGGCGTTTCATCGAGAAACGTGCATGAAAGTTCACCACGTCTGCACCTCCTTCGCGAATCGTGAGGAGCGAAGGAGGAAAGGAAAAAAGAGAAAAAGGAAAAAAAAGATATCCAGCCGAGGAATTCGCGGAGTTCCGCGGTTGTATTCCGCCATTCTTCCGCCCGTTGTTTCGAGTTCGCTTTCGCCTCGTTTATCGTGCCGCTTTGATCTCTCCTTCCCAAAGGATCAACCTGGATCGAAGCTTGAGATCTCGGAACAGGTTTGCCGGGGATTTTTCCCAAGGCATTTCTGCGATAAATGAGCTTCAAGTGGCCTGGTGGATTTTCTGATCTTTCGGCGATCTTGAGGAGCGAACACTCGAGGATTGCATTTCATGATCTCACCTCCCGGTCAACCTGAACTCTTGATTTTCCCGACTGGAGGTTGACTCCCAACTGAAAAAAAAAATCCCAGGAATAAATAACGAAGGATCAAAAGAAGAGAATTGAGGAACGAGAGATTAATCCTCGGGAGAGTGCTCTCTCGTTTGTTATTAAAAATTGACAACCATCCCGAGGGACCCTTCGGACGGGTTTCGAGTTTCGGTTTCATCTCTCATTATTTATTCGATCACCTCTTGGTCATTAATAATCCCTCCATTGATAGCCTCCCTTGACGTCCTTTTATCCAGGATCATCGACCCGTTGGGACGAAATTAAATTACCTCGGTAGATCCTTCGCGAAGAGATCAGGAGGATTTTTTATTTGACGAAGGAAAAAGGGTGGGAATAAGAGTCCTGGAAAATCCAGCCTGAAAACCGCCCCGAAGGACGATGTCCTACGCCTTTGGCTGAGTCCTGTCTGGTCCAAGTATGGCTCCTCCAGGCTTCCTTACAAACCGCGAGGTTATTTTGTCGTTAAACTCGTATTCACCTGAACAGAAGAGCAACCGGACCGACGAGGTATAAGTGTTATCCTAAAATGTCCTTTTACCCTCGGTCGTCCTGAAGAGGCTCTTCAGGGTATCGGAGGTCCTTCTCTTTAAATGATTTCCTGGCCCCGGCCGAAATCGACGTCGAACAAGTAACCGACATGACGTTCTAAAAATAAGCAGAGAAAAAAATAAATAAATAACAGGCGTACCTGTTAATTGAATTACATAAATAAAGTTTATAATACACCCGGCTGTCGAGTTTCGCGGCATTGCTTCGTAGAAACACCAAAAGACGACGGTAAATTAAATCATTTATTTTTTTATTCGGCGTGTTTGTTCCATATCACACCTCTCAGTGTATTTGTTAATTTATCGAGCGGTTAGGATCACTGCAGGAATAATTTGAAAAATTATTTACAGGTCGTAGGATTTCATACCCTGCGGTACTTTGTGGTCTGGGGATTTTTGACATATCCTATTCTTGTCATATGAAAATGTTAATGCACTAACTTTAACTGCGCGGTCTGGAGAGCCGCGAGACTGGCCATTTATGATCTGAAATTATTTATCCCTCCCTGGGATTTTTTTTTTTTTTTAAAGACGACTCCTGCCGAGGCGCGTCCTTTCTCCAGGTTTCCCCAGAAGTCTCGGGAAGAAGGTCCCCGAAATTAAATCCAGGGAGTAAATTATCCCTAACTGAAGACACTTGTAAACTGACGTTAAACGTGGAAACTAACAAGTCCCCTCTAAACATTTCCACTTATAGTGACTTCCGGTTCCCCAGCTGTCCCCCATAGAGAGACCATAGAGAGACGCCAAGACTACAAACATCCGGAAAAATCCACCCTTGACAAAATACAAAAACCCCTCCGAATATAAATCTCCCCCGAAATAGAAGAATCCTCCCTATCCATAAAACAATTAACACACCCTGAAATTAAAACCATAACCTCGAAACGATAATTTAAATACCCAGGAAATATCCATAGACTCCCAGTTCCAAATTCCCCTTTTTGTAAATTTTTTTTCTTTATTCGAAATTGCAGTTTATAAATCCTATTATCCGAATAGAGAAATTATTTCCATAGTGAAAAAGTGCATCAAGGGTAGCATTCATAGTGTAGCTGGGATTATAAAACTTTTCTCCCACCTCGATTTACGGAATAGTTTGAAACATTACAACGTGAATAATGAGATTACAAGGAAGGTCCTGAAAGTCATGAAATTTCAATTCTTTTCAAATTTTGTTTATAGGCATTTTAAAAATAGTTGATAAAAAATGAAATTTGAGAACGATTTGAGATACCCGATTCGTATAAATGTTTTATGAACGATTAAGCTTTCGGATGCCACTTTCGCATCCCCTTAAGAGGAAGAAATATCGAGCAAGACGGAATATGGGAGGAAGAAGGAGCAGGTAGAGGCAAGAAATCGGAGGCTGTAATTGAAGTTGGGGTCGTAAGGACGAATCGAGGTATCCAGAGAGAATTCCTTAGAAGGAGAGGACCGGTCGCCTTGTATCGCGGACACGCGATCTGTCTTTATGACCGAAAGTGGGCGTCGGCGTCGTAACGATACGTCGAGGAGAGCAGAAAACTCGAAGGGCCGTGATCGTCCTGTTAAACAGGAGTCTGCAAGGATCCTCGGAAGCTGGCTCATGTAGATGGAAGTGCCGTGTAAGGATGCATCGATCAGAGTTTCGTTTAATTCAACGAAGGGTCCAGATGTCTACCGAAAGTAGGATATACGTATGTCCTACGTTGGATATACGTATATGCGACGTGTCGAACGTCTTGTTTAGGTATAAAATTGAATTTTTCGACGGGAACGATGTACTCGCATGTCCCGAACTCCTTTGACAGGTTTAGAGTTAAATCTTTGTACGGCTCCAAAATGACGCCCCCGAGGAGTCGTGGATTTTTTTCAGATGACGTCTTTTTAGAATTTCCGGCCAGGTTCCAAATGCAATTTCGATGAATTATTCCCACTTTTGAGTAACTATTGAACGGGGGATTGGGGATGGACGAGTTTTTTGGCAGGAGTGCAGTGATGCACCTGGTGCATCCGACCTGCAGTCGGGGGTCGAAGAAGGATGCTGCCTGTAAAAATGATATGCGGTTCAGGGATAATCTTGATAGCGAGATGAAGACTAATTGCACGGTCGTTTGTTCCCTCTTTATCGTTCTGGGGAAATAAGTTGCAGCGTGGTGTTCATTGTTGGGGCACGCAAGGTAATCCTATCCTGGCCCACAATCCGGGGTATTGAAATACATCCCGGGGTGTATCTGCGAAATAAGTGTTCTCTTGCAATGCGAATCACCACCGGGATAAAGAGAGAACCCAATGGGAGAATGGATCACGAATCATCGCGTAACAATACGAGCCGGAAGGAAGGTCATGCCCATTTATCCTACTTGGCGTTGTTGCAGGACACCATGCAGTTATGATACACATCCCACATCCATAAGATCTTGTAACCAGAAATGAAGTCTCCCGACACGATTCGCTTAGGGTCCCTAGATGACTCACTAGACTCGAAGAAGGAGCTTTTAAAGCCCTCTGAAAGTGAATAGTGGCGGAAATATGAGACTTGGTTCTGATGAGTAGTGAATAAAAATTCCTCTTTTGGAGGAATTAATTTCAATGGAGGGAACAGTTTTAACACCTGAAAAATCGCGCGTTAAGATATTTCGTTGGTCGATCGGTGGATACATCTTTTAAAAAATGGCATCGCACAAGCTCTTCTTTCACGTCGCCTTAACCTCTGTAAAGTCGGCGCCACGGGGAGCAAGACGCGCTCGGAGTGGAGGAGAGTCCCTCAGCATCCCACAGGACCCCGGCGTGCCTGGAATTAATTGCCCACCAGGAGGGCACTGCAAACACCGCAGGGATCCTCAGAGACAAAACAAACAGGGAATTCCCCCTGTCCCTCCTGGTGACTAACGTTTACTAGAGCACCCTGCGCATCTCCCCCGTGCAGCCTCGGGTCCCTCGGGACTCATTTCAGCCATTTCTCAACCCTTTTACGACGCCCAGGATAAAGCTTAGAATTTCCAGGACTTTCCGGGACATCCCAAGAACCCTTCCTAAAACGACCTCGCGAGATTACACGCGGAATAAAGCTAAGGAGAATTTAAATAACAAGATTCCTCTAGCTCCCCCGGTACTCGAAGTGGGCGCCTCGAGTTCTGAAATATTTTCCAATCCCCCAGGAATGGACAATTCGGCGCTTCCCTCGGGTTCTCCTAGGCAAGTGGTCCTTCCTTTACCTGTTAATAAATTCTTGAGAAGGTGGGGGATTTTTTTATATTTTATTTCGATTTTTATTCCGATGGTCCAGAGGTTAGGAGAGGCCTTGCGGAATCCTCTCCTGGTCTCCCTTTTCTTTTATTCGCCGCACCTTGAAGAGCCGTTGGTACGCGTATAAATAGACGGCGAATCCTCGGGATGGAAGAAAAAACGGGAACGTTGAGCCAGGTCAGGGTAAGATTGGTCCCTGATGTTGCACCGGAATCTTATGCAACCTCGCTATCTAGGATCTTGTCACTGTCGAGACTCTCCAAGTGTCGCTCTCTCCTGCTATTCGTCCATTCTGCCTCTCCTACGTATTTTCTCCTTCTTACCCGGTCAAAGAATACATAATTTACCTCGGTGAGTTCCGTCTTTGCAAGCCCGAGGAGACGTCAACCCCGTTAAGAGAGTCGCATGCTCATCGCGGATCCATTTACGGGATCGTTAAATTTTTTCCACATTTTATTAGATACTTTTTTCTTTTTGCGCTTACGCACTTTCATGATGACTTTTTTTTTTTCCAGGTCTATCAGATTGCCTACGTGATAGTGAAGGCGGCGAATTCGCCCAGACCGGCAGCCTGGATTTTGGAGAGGTCCATCGATGGGGAAATCTTTCTACCATGGCAGTATTATGCACCAAGTGACGAAGAGTGCTGGGGTCGGTACTCGGTGCCACCAGTTGCAGGGAAGCCGGTGTACTTGGATGACACCGAAGTCATCTGTACGAGTTTTTATTCCAAGCCGACCCCCATGGAGAACGGGGAAGTAAGTGCCCCATATAGGGATCGATCACTATATGTAATAATACAATGTATAAAAATGTAAAAGCCCACCTTCAGATATTCCCAATTACCCCAGACAGGGAGATATCGCCTCTCACCAATTCTTCAAATGAATTAAATATTTATAAATCATTTGAAATGATCAAATGAATTTTTATCGATCACTCGGATCTAGGAGATATATTTTCCCCGATATCTTTGAAAGATTGTGCTGTACGAGCAGTTATTAAATAATATCGTCACCGAGCACTGAGCAAGATCCCACCGATTGCCGTTTAATATCGCATACGTGGCTTCCGTTAATAAGGAGCGATGCATCCCGGGGATTAATCCTTCGGTGATCCACGCCAAGATCACTGATGTCCTCTTATTCCTCTTCCTTATCGAAATCGAAATCAGTTCTCCTCGAGATGAGATTTACATCCAGTTTCGTCGGTGTCACCTAAGCTCCCAAGGGATCAAAAGCTCACGGGAATGAGATTCCGATTGGATTCCCTTCTGCAAGGAAATTCCCCGTTGCGGATTCTTTTTTTCTTCGGTATTTCTCATTTCTCCTCTTCGATATGACAATCGGATTGTTTGAGGGAAAAAAATCATTTTTCTCTATTTTTATTATTGGAGGTGTCATGTCGATTTTCAGGGACGCTCGGGTCGCGCTGAAAAAAATCGCCACCCTAACCTCGAATTTAGTAGAAAATCATCTCGAAGATCAAAATGGGGGTCCAAAAGGTATCGATAAAAAATGGGGTCCGGTCCCAAAAATACCCTTACCTCGTTCCAGAGGAGGAATTCCTGGATGGCCCCTTAGGGGTTTCGTTTCCTCGTTAGCGGATTCGCGGAGTGTACTTGGCTCGGTATTTCGCTCATTGGCGCGATATATCAATCGACACGAGATACCAGGCGCCCCTTAACGAGAGGCCAGGATTATTCGGCGGTGCCTTTTTACCGAGGACGAAGCACGTGGACGCGTTTTAATTAGCGGCTCGCGCGAGTTTGAGGAGCCGGTAAATCAGCCAGAGTCCCGAAACGGGAACGGGGATTCGATAAGATCCCACGATCCTCCCTTATCCTTTCCCCCCCCCCCCCTCCGAGGGGGTACAAAGGCGTAAAACTGGAACCCAGGAGTCTCCGGAGTCCCGGGAGTCCCGCGGGAACCGTATAAGGCCGGCTTTCCGTACATGGCCGGAATGTAGGATCGCCGTTTTTGTCATTCCGCCTTCTCCTCCTTGTTTTTCCCTCCTCGTCTTCCCCTGCTCTTCTCTTCGGCCTCGACACGCGTCCGTTTAACGACCTCTGATTACCCGGAGTCTCTCCTCGAGTCCTGAGCTCGTTATCACTCGACCTGACCGAGGATGACACCTTATGAGACCTCCACTATTTCCTCGGGAATCGGTTTAAACGATTTCCTTATGTGGCTTTTGCACCCCGGTATGATTGATAACAATTTGATATGATTGATAACAATTCCAGCTTAATATCCTGAGTGAATGGGTCGGTGATTTCCGGTATTAAAATCGATCATTTCCTCAGTGAACCTCCACCTCTTAAGGTAGTCGATTGAATTTCAGCAGAGTTGCTCTCCCAATTATTCTTTCCTTTTAATGAAATAAAAATAAAAAAAATCCTGAATTAACTTCCTGTATTCCTTAATGGGGAAAATTTATTTATTCCGGGATTTCGAAATGGGGTATTTTTATAAGGACGATTTTTTTTCTTCCCTTGCTTCAGATACACACTCACCTGGTGAACGGTCGTCCTGGGGCGTCTAATCACAGCACGAGGCTTCAGGAATTCACGCAAGCGAGATTCGTCAGACTTCGTTTCCAGGGTCTGAGAAGACGCGGTGAGACGATTGCAGACAAGAGAAGAGCCTTCTATTCGATAAAGGAGATCAACATCGGAGGACATTGTCTCTGTTCTGGCCATGCATCCAGGTGTAGATACAGCGTTCACCATGGGGTAAGTTGGGGCTAAACTAAAAATGTCATGGCCAGAAAATCAATTTCTACCTGCATTAATTCGATTATTCCTATTTATTATTACCGAGTTAATTATTTATTCCCCCATTTTGCCATCGAAATCAAGGGCATCTACAAAGAACCGCAGAAAAGTGCTCGTTAAGCAACACGTCGTCGTTTGCGTCGATCTAAAATTAAGGAAAACTTTATTCCCTCGTTTTACTGGCCGAGCGATGGATTTTACCGGGGAAATAAATCCGTCGGAAGCACCATAAACATGTCGCACGTTTATCCCATAACATTGCACCGTTTCGTTTACCATGCATCGCTCCGAAAACATGCCCCATAAAGCAGGGTGTGTTTTCTTAAAAAAGTGCTAATTATAAATGAATTATTCGTGTAAATTGAGAGGAAGAGAGTTTGCCCTGAGGTCAAGATTGAATATGCTGTATTTGTATATATATAAAATTATTTATTTATGGCCAGGTTGAAAGACCAAGCCTTATTAGGTCAGAAACTTAGTTCGTTGCAAGCCGAGCAAAGCGGATGCAAATAACTGCATCGGTAAGAGGGAGAGCTCGTACCAAAGAATACAGCGACATTAATTACCATTGTCCTCAACATACTTTCTCTTTATACGGTTTGCCGCAATTGGAGGCCCCACGTGGCTCCCTAAATATGGACATTACCAAGTTAAGAGACCTTATCGAGGTGGTCATATCTCTCGGAAACGATGGGACCGATCGAGGCCATCGAAGGGATCATTGACATTATCAACAGACATTTGCAATTCGGCATGTTCTACGGGCGGAATGTTTAAAGGAATCTTTTGAAATCCTCATGGAATTTTTTCGATAATTGTTTATGTATTAAAATTTGAATAAGGATTTTTTTTCTTTAATGACTCAATCGTTTCACTTTCTTTGACTCGGATGTCGGTACCGATTTTGTCTTTTTTTTTTCTTGAGTTTGTTTGGTTTGAGGTATGTCAATTATTTATTTTTTCTTACCATTTTTGACAAGGATACGCTACTTTTTTTCCTGGAGAGATTTTCAACGTTGACAAGTGAAAATCCCCGGTGAACTTGTTAAGAGAAAATCTTTTGGACGCTCTAGTTGCGGGTGGTCCCTTTAATGACATCGATCTTCAGTGAATCACAATTGCCCTCCATTAACGCCTAAAATTATTTACTGCCGAGATAATGGCCAACGAGTTCACGGAGTAATCAGGTATGGCTCGAGCAATTACTCTTTAGTGCGAGCCGTAATGAACTCGAGTTGTATTTCACGAGGAGACAAGTGACATCGGGTGGAATCATTTGCCTTTGAATTTCGCTTCCACTCGGGCCTCGATTTTTCGACACACCATTACTATAAAAATATAAAAAAATTACGAGAAAAACTCCGAAAGTCGGATTATCAAATTTAAACGGCGGTGAACAATTGACACTTCGATACCGCGAAAAGATGTAAGGATTTCCATTGTGATGGATTTTCAAGGGTGAAAGAATCGTCCCATTTTTTTTTTTTTTTCCGAACGATCGTCCGAACTTCCGTGAAAGCGATCGGCCAAGGAAGTCTGAAATCATTGCAGAAACTGGATAAATAATACCACCGGGCGTATTGTCTGCTCCATTGACGACAATGGAGGACTTCCGTCGGAAATGAGCGCGAATTGAACGGCAAGTATCGCTCGAGATCATTTGTTTCGATGACTTTTGCCGCGGTGCAAGTGCTTTATGATTCGAGTCCCGACACTTGACTCGAGTACAATGACTCACGAGTCATTATTCGAAGAGCATTGTCACCTCGTATAAAAAAAATCAAAATCGACCCTCAAACGTACGCCGTCCATTATCGATATTAATTCCACGGTCGATACCTGGTATCCTGTATTTAATCTTTAAATACCCAATAATTATTAATTATCACAGAAATTCCATGCAACTCATGCAATCGATCAATTTAATGATTAAACATTCGATTTTTTTCTTATCAGCGCATTAAAAGTATCACACATACAATAAAAATGATCGACGCAATCGGTGAAATTATTGATTAAAAATTATTAAGACCCTTGTTTATCGATTTTTTTTTTTTTTTCATAGCACCAAGAATGCGAATGCGAGCGTCACACGTGCGGTGAGAATTGTGATAAGTGCTGCCCCATGTACAATCAAGTCCCATGGAGGCCAGGAACAGCTGGCAGAGGTTTCCACTGCGAAAGGTGCAATTGCAACGGGCATGCAACTTCCTGTCGGTACGATCCGGACGTGGCTGAGAAGAGATTGTCAATGGACATTCGTGGAAGGTACAGAGGCGGCGGTGTATGCTTAAACTGCACTGTAAGTTAATTATTTTCACGTCTCTTGTTGTTTTTTTTTTCCTCACTCTGAATCGCGTAAATTGGGGGCGATAGAATCGACAGCTGACCATTTCCTCGTCGATTGCGTGGATAATCGATTTCAGGAGCATACCGCCGGCATCAATTGCGACAAGTGTCAAGATGGGTATTACAGACCTAATGGAGTGTCGCCACATGCACCGGACCCCTGCGTCCCATGCAACTGCAACTCGCATGGCAGTACCGGTTACTGCACCCCGGACGACTCTTTCACGAAAATGGGAAAGGTGAGACTCTTCGAGATTCTTTTTTTTTTCTTCTTCGAGACGTTTCGATACTTCCTCAAGATTTTTCTCATAAAAAAAAATTTTTTTTCCTCACTTTTTCAAACTCCCGGGATTTTTTTTTACTTCCTGGTAGGACTTTTCGGTGAGACCGGTGATGTCTCGGGTAACAGGTGCCTGCGAATTTTCCAAGATTTTCATTTCAGACATTTTCCAGTTTTCTTTGAATTTTTTTGGGGGATCTTTTAAGAGTTCAGGAATTTTTTGGACTTCTTGGTGAGACCGGTGATGTTTCAGGTAGCAGGTGCCTGCGAATTTTCCAAGATTTTCATTTCAGACATTTTCCAGTTTTCTTTGAATTTTTTTGGGGGATTTTTTAAGAGTTCAGGAATTTTTTGAACTTCTTGGTGAGACCGGTGATGTTTCAGGTAGCAGGTGCCTGCGAGTGCAAGCCTGGCTACTCGGGCTACAAATGCGACCAATGTGCAGCGGGGTATCGCCAGTTCCCGGATTGCATGCCCTGTCCCTGCGATTCCCGAGGGATCCTTCCCTCTCACGACTGCGAGGGGGATTGTCTCTGCAAGGCGAACGTCGCCGGGGAATTTTGCGACCGCTGCAAGCCGGGACATTTTGCATTAACTCGCGACAATCTGGACGGTTGTCTTCCCTGCATCTGTTCCGGTATCACCGGTGCATGTGCATCGGCGAGACTCGTCTACGCGGCGGTAAGTTTCACCTTAAATATACCGAATATTACTAACCATCTGGAAATATAGATTGAAATAATTCGAGATTTATATCGACAACCTGACAGAGCGAGTCCCCTAACCCTAAGTGCATACAAAGTGCACTTTTCAATGCACCACTCCCGTGAATGTATAATCACCGCGTATATATCAGTCTCGACACGACTAGAGCACAATTATCCCCTCGACGACAGCTTTCACCATAATGGGAGGCCATGTCAACCCGATCGGCTCCTGGTTATCATTTTATGGTTATCAGCTGATGACCGCAAGTCCCCTGAAATTCAATTAGTCTAATGCCTGACGTGTTAAAAGTGCGTTAAGGCCTTACAGACATCTCTGGTCAGCTGTATCAACACTGACACAAGTGCATCGATACAATTTCTGAACTTCGACGCCATCTTGAATTTTCTGAAAATTCATTTTATGACCTTTATGCCCATTCTTGCGCTAACTTTGACACCAGCTCGGGGATGGATCTTAAAGTCTCGTAAAGTGCAGTTTCAATTACGCGATCCGACGAATCGGAGCTCGCTGGACCCGTTTCAGATATCTCGGGGCAACTTTTTGAGTTTTCCCTCGAGCTTCTTCTCCCTTTCGACGCGGCGATCTCGACGATCTCTTGACTTGTCGGAATCGAACCCCTTTCTGCCCCGATATGGACGAACACGAGTAGCTGGATGCTCCCAGAAAGGCGCGACGGAGAGGGGCGGTATTGTACCTTGTTCTTATCTCCGCTATTTTGCGACAGAAATTGTTTAATCATTTATCAATCGGCCGGATATCAAAGTAATGGCCATTTTTTCCCTGGGTCATCTTAGTCATTATCCATTTAAAAAATGAAATGTGACGTTTGACATGAGAATCTCAAGATTGCCCAATTAAAAATATAAAAATTATCATCCTGGTCATGAAATTAAATAAATTAGAAATGTGACGTTTCACGTGGGAACCTCGAGATTAATCAGCTGAAAAATATGAAGATTATAATTTTTTACAGGTGTCCACCCTCGACGATTGGATGATAACTGATATGAACGCCACTCGCGCCATTATCCCGACTTTGGATGCCGATGACGGTGGATTGACGATCGCTGCTTACGAGCTGGACTATTCTAGTCCTTTTTGGTTGGCTCCTCCAGTTTATGGGGGAAATCGACTGTCCTCTTATGGGAGCAATCTCACATTCAGCGTAACATGGGTCGTAATGCGTGGGGACACAAGTGGAAAGCCAACAACAGAGGCGAACGTTGTCCTCGTGGTAGGTCAACAATTCCTCCGACATATATTTTTTATTTATATTCAGGATGATCCTTGAGGTGCAGCTTGGATATTAGGACCTCCGATGCAGGATCTTCATCCGTTAAGTGACTAATTATTAATAGTTACTCTGATTTTTCGATTTCAGGGAAACAATGGTATGAGGCTCGCGTACGGAGAGGAACAATACAACGCGCAAATGGCGGAAATCTCTGTGCCATTGTTCGAGGAAGGATGGTATCACGTGAAAAGCGAGGTCGAGGATGTTCCAACGAGACTTAGGAGGACGGAATTTAGGGGAGATCCGGTAACGAGGCTGCAAATGCTGCAAGTACTTGCGGACGTGAAGTACCTCATGATAAGGGCGCAGTACCACTCGGAGCAGATCGAGGGAAGGTGATTAATTTTTCTTCTTTAATTTTAAACTGCCGAGGTATATCCAACGTCGCAGCTAAAAAGGAAACATAATCATTTGCATTGTTTGTACAGCGTGTTATTATTTAAAAATTAATTTCACGGTTAAAGTGGATTTTCATAGGACTTCAATTTTTTTTTTCCGGCCAAACTTTCCGAGTAATAACGATTTTCTTTTCAATTGCAGACTTTTATCGGCAGTTTTGCCAGTCGGGGAGAAAAGCGAGGCGCAGGATAACGAGAGTATGGTGGAGAAATGCGAGTGTCCTGAAGGATATGCAGGACTTTCCTGTGAAAAGTGTTCCTGGGGATATGTTAAGATCGTCACCAACGGGTCTGATCACCAGGATCGACATTTGTGCATGAGATGCAATTGCAACGGGCATTCCGGCACTTGCGATCTAGCCACAGGCGAATGCGGCGTAAGTAATCTCCCTCGGATATTTCCTGAAATAATTCATATTTCGAGATAATAATTTCAATCGCTTTTACCGACTGAGCTGGCTCGCAGATAAGACTATCGAGTGTTGGTAAAGCTCCTCTATTGGCACACCTAGCTCCTGTGCATTACTTCTGTTTTACCATCGGATGGGAATATATATGATAAGGAATTGATTCTTTGTAATCACACCTTCCTCAATTACCAACGTTACCCCCTTTTTCTTGGGTAATTACCCTAGATAATGAATTAATATCGCTGATTATTCAATTTTCCAGAGCTGCGAGCACAACACAACAGGGCCGAATTGCGATCGCTGTGCACCTGGTTATTACGGCGATGCAATTGTCGGTGCACCTAATGACTGCAAGAGATGCGCCTGTCCATTGACACTAGAGTCTAATAACTTCAGTCCTAGATGTCAACTGGACGATTTGTCGAATCTCGAAGGAGGGTACGTCTGTACACAGTGTCCTAAAGGATACACAGGAGACCACTGCGAAAGGTAAAATGATTTAAAATGAATAAAAATGAATAATTAGACCGTATAAAACATCCATTACCTCCATCCTGACCCTAGAACATGAAAATAAAATACAATTGTACCGTACAAACCGTGCAAATCATTATTCTTTCTTATTTCCAGCTGCGATGTCGGATATTTCGGCAGCCCTTCGATTCCTGGAGGTACTTGCAAGGAGTGTCCTTGCAATGGAGGTCCTTGCGAGCAGGACACAGGACGTTGTTTGGAGTGTCGAGGTAATACGGAAGGCTGGAAGTGCGACAAGTGCAAAGAAGCGCATTACGGGGACCCGTTGCAGCAGAACTGCATGCGTAAGTGTTGTAATTCCTGGTTGCATTAAGTTAAACGTTTAAGTGTTTCTTTACATATATGCATGAGAAAACGTTACACTAATTTCTTTCTTTTTTACTTTTAATGCAGCTTGCAACTGCAGCAAGATCGGCAGCAAGTCGATTATCTGCGACCCGGTGACCGGCCAGTGTCAGTGCGGATTACTTTTTACCGGAAGAGATTGTTCTTCTTGTATCGAGGGTTATGGCAATGTCACCGCTGGTTGTCTCGAGTGCGAATGTGGAATCGGCGCCATTGAAGAGGTCTGCGATGCAGTTTCCGGGGAGTGCAAGTGCAACGACGGCGTTTCCGGGTTTCGGTGCGACAGGTGCAACGAGGACCACTATGGACTGTCTCAGGATGGCTGCTTGGGTGAGCCAATGAATTTTGTCAATGGACTTTTGCATGCCACGTTATGATTACCCCGGAATATGAATTTTTATTGTCACAAGTTACATGTTACAAATTATGAGACCCTGATCGGTGGCTCGTCTCTTCAGAGTGGTTCATGAAATTTGGAAAAATTGCTATTTGAACTTTTTTTTTCATTCCGGTACCTTAACCCTTTCAGCGATATGGACCAATAAGTGCGTCCGACGTTTGGTCCAATATCGCTAGGACGTCCTTATGAAATTCGCCCTTACGCCAAATGGGCTCAGCGATGAAAGGGTTAGGGAGGTGTATGTTGATTCAAGTAGCTCGAGGCTGAAGAAGCTGAAGAAGTTGAAGAATCGGCCTTGTAGATGGTCGTAGACCTGAAGACTGCCATAAATTGCAATCATTCGGCTCCCCAGGGGACAATTCCCGAATGTATCTCATAATTTCCACGGAACAAGCGTCTTATCACCACGTGGTGTCACGCAAAATCGGCCTATCAAAAGAACCGAAAGATTCTTACTTACTCTAAAAATGATTCTTACTCTAAAAATGAAAAGCGGGAAAGCTCGACCTGGAAACTTTTCTTTCGGACACTTAGAGCTGACATTTACGGGTTAATTTTCGATAACGCAATCGGTCAGCTCCGGGGTAATAACCTGGACGTAAAACGACGGATTTATCGGCAGTACGCCGGTATAAAATAATTACTGTAATGTAATAAAATGCGAAAACCCGGGGAAAATTGCCAGTACCGACACTGGGGATTTCAGGCACCCGACAACGAAGTACCGAGTCATATCCGGTAGTTTGCCGGCATTCTTTACGGTTAATATTTATCGCGGCGATAAATTCCGAAAATGACAGAAGGAAGGATCTGCATTCTTGGCATTTAACGCCAGACATTTCGTGCAATCACCTCGTAGCGCTATGCGATGTTACGTGTGCGATAACGAACGAGTAAATAAAGGTACCGAGATGCCGGGTAGTACTTTTAAAATCGGGATGTTAGGTAACAAATGCCGGAGAAATTGCGGGTTACGATGCCCTGTCAATTACGGCTCTCGGTGATAATTCGCGAGGAAAGAGAAAAATCCCTCCACTCGGGCCTGATATCACATATCGGTTCTCTACGAAAAAAAAAAAAAAAAAAAAAAAAAAACATTTAAGGTCTTTGTAAAAAATCCTATATGCGAATTAAGGAAATAGGGGGTGATTAGTAGATGTGGGATAAATGTTTGGTTATAGAATAATGGAAAAAGAGGGGAAATAAATAATACTCCCAGGAGTGGTGCGAGGGAACGAAAGTGCAACTGCAGTGGCCGGTGCATTAAGTATTCATGGTCGGCTTATCGTCCCTCGACTCGGTCGGGAAAAATCGGGACACGCGCTAAAAGCAAGCCCGACCGAGGTTTATGTGACATAATTAATGTAGCGCGATTTTAACGCCCCGTGTTAAACACGAGGCTGGCAGAGTTTAATAAGGCTGTATATTTCGTGCCGAGGGATTATCTCGCGTTTCCCGTTTATTTCGCTCCCGTTTATCCCGCGGCGAGTGCTACTTTTGGATGTGAATGCAACTCTTGGATGCGCGTGCAACTTTTAATGGGAATGCAACTTTTGGATGCGAATGCAACTTTTAATGCGAATGCAATTTTTTGATGTGAATGCAACTTTTCATGCAAATGCAACTTTTAATGCAAATGCAACTCTTGGATGCGAATGCAACTTTTAATGCAAATGCAACTCTTGGATGCGAATGCAACTTTTAATGCAAATGCAACTCTTAGATGCGGATCCAGGAAATAATTCCCACGAAGGACCCCCCGCGCAGATTTCCGGAGTGTTAGGATTTTTCAAATTCCAGAGGGAATTCCAACGAGATCCAGGCCTCGGGTTGCCGATTCCTTCCTCAAGATCGCGATCTGCGCGTTTCTATCCGCCCACGCGAGCGTATTTACGCGAGATTCGCCGCAAATATAAAGACTACCAGGAGGGAAAGGCGACTTGGTCCAGCATCTCGTTAGGTCCCGATCGCGATCGTAAACTGCGAGTGTCCCTTGTGCCTTCTTTTCTCTTATTTCGAGACATGGAAAATCTTCGATCCATTCCTTCTGGTCGATGCCGGATACCGTTCGCGAGATACTCCATTGGAGTACAAAAAATATTAATAACATAAAAAAACCCGAGAAATATGAAATATGCCCCAGGAAAAATGTGAAAAATATGAAATGTGCCCCGTGAAAAAAAAAATATATATATATATGAAAACTGAAAAATCTTCTATACCTCCTCGTATCCCTGAGATATATCGTCTTGGACCACGAAGAGATAGGATTACTCTCAAAGTCTCGCGAGAAAGCGAACTCGTGATCCGGACACCTTTGACGGTCGGTATCATCTTTCCTTGGCTTGCGAAACCGAATCAGGAAACGCCGTGTCTCTTGACGCCTTCGTCGAGGAAAGAGCATCCTAGAAAGACGGTTTCAAGACGGATATAAAGAGACCAAAGACGAATTTATCAGTTGATTTTCCAACACTCGTAATGGGATCTCACAGGTGTTCATTCTTCTTTTGCGTTGGTTTTTTCATTTGTTCGTACCCGGCAAGGATTTATTCACGATCGCGATCAGGTCCTCGATGACGTCCACCGTCATCGGGATGATTTATCGTCTCCTTCCTGATCGGAGGGGCTGGAGGAAGAAGTGCACTTGCAGCTGCACCCTCCGACTGGGAGTGGAAGACTCGATTGCACTCTCGGGATGCAAGAAGGATTCATCTCCGATACGCAGGTGGATACCCACGCGAGAGGTGGGCAGATACCTGCCTAAGGTAAATTTTCATGCCGTTTCCGGAGATTTTCTACCGAGATCCTAGATGTACACTGCCGGACATAAACGTATTCCACCACCTTAAGGGGGTGCCAAAGTGACAGAGTCCCTCGTCGCGAAACTTTTCTCCGAGCTGGGTGTACCGAATCGTTTCAAACTTTACATCGCGAATGTGGAGACTAAAGGAAAGGTTTTGACACCCATGAAATTTCATATTTCATACAAAAAAGTACTTGAATGTATAGTATCAAATTATTTCCGGAAATTCAGGGTTTATGGGTGCCAGGGATTTATTTGGAGATTCATGTTGCACCGTCTGATAAGATTCGGTAGTGCCGGTGATAACTCATTTCTTGGGGTCAACGATGATACCTTCTTGGGTCGCTTTTCTTATCGATCGGACCTCCCGATGATAAACCACTGTTGAGGGCTCGCGAGCGATCATCGCGAGATGATCTCCCGGCTGATAACGGAATCTCCATCCCACTCTCTGGACGATGATAAAGGGTACGAATTATCACCGGGAGAAACGCACCTCTCGGGCCCCTGGAAATATGCCAAATGGAATTTCATGAAATTCCTACCACGAAATGATAGTCTTAAGGGGATGGGAAAATTTGAAACTCGCCGTTCATCTTGGAGTTTAGATGAAGATCATATTTTTGCATCGATCATTCGTCGATTCGAAATCAAAGATAGGTGGTTTTTTTTTAATTTCGATATTTTTTATATACTCGGTACTGTTCATTTTTCCATTTTTCTGCTTATCGGACTCGGTGATTTTCCTTCGCCGTTTCTTCTCTTTATTTTATTCGCTTCTCTTTACTTTCTCCTCTTCTCTCTCTTGCCTAGCTTTCTTGCCTACCCGTGAGAGTCTTCCATCGGCGAAACTCGCGTGGGCGGATCTCGCAACAGGAGTCTGGAAATTTATTTCCATGTATTTGCAATTTGACGACCGTCCGATAGTTTAAGTCCTAAACCGAAAGGGGCCCAGGGAAACGTACGATTTCCACCGGGGAAATTTATCCCCCACATAGACGGGGATTTTTCAATTGAAAATCCTGCCACAGAGTTCGAATCCCGAAGGAGCCTCTGGGTACGTAACTCGCGATGGAATGTTTCACACGGTCGGGAAATAATTGAAAGTGCGAGTAAAATGAAGAAAAGCATAGAATCCAGCTGCACCGAATTGCAAGCTGCAGTTGTATACCCTGGAAAAAATATCCAACCGAAGAAATATTGATTTAATTCCAAGAATCATAATTTCTCTAAAATCACCCCGGATAAATTGAGACGTTTCTCCGGAATTCTCACGGTTTATTTCAGTGAAATAATTAATTTCTGGAATTAACAGAGTATCTTTTTTGGCTCAATCAAGTCTTTTCCCTCGGTTTACCTTTCCGAGGTCCAAACTGTCCGCGCAATGTCTATCATTAATTTCAATTAATTCCCAGAAATTAATTCCAGGAGTTTGGTACGATCGAGATGTCTCATTGAAGGGGGAGAAACGTCATTCTGGATTTTACAGAATTTCAACTGGCGGCGTTAAATGCATCTCGGTGCAACAGGTGGCGACGCGGCAGAGGCGGGGAGATTTCAATTAATTTTATCGCCGGGCTTTATTTTTCACTTATAATTTATCGACGCGGAGGCGCGCGTACCTAGGCATGTTTCAACGATGTTACGATACGTTTTAACGACTTTGCGACGGTTTTCGCCGACACCGTCGGTGCAACAAAATGTGCAACTCGGTTGGCGCCTCTTAATGCCGGACTCGGGTTGTCGCGGGTTGTTTATATTTCCTGAAGCTTCGTTCTCGATGTCATGGCAGCAATTCTCTGCCATACTTTAGAAGCCAATGCCGACATGTTAACAGGTGACACTTAGAGTCTAGGGGATTATTTCGTGTGACAATTTTCTTCCATATTACTGCACCGAAAATGTATAAATTCCTTGATTAATACGCTTTTTGTTATTTAATACGCTTTTACAATTAATTTGGCGAAGAAAAGGTTTCGTTGAGTAGCGCTTTAAATAAAAAAAATTACGATATCGTTATCGAGAAACTTGAAGAAACGCAGAAATTCCGGGTTGTCGTCCTATCGGTGAGAAGGTGAGATCGCTCGGCAGCTCGCCGACAAAGGAAAGGGACGATCGAGCAATAAAGGGCCCCATAAAATGTCCCCGGACTCGGTCGTGCGAGTCCCTGCGCC